CTGCTGAAATGTTTCCATATGTACTGGATCTCCCCTTGCTCCTGTTTCTAGTGGCCAGCAGTGGTTATTATTATTTCACTCTTGGAGCAGCTCTTCACATGCTTTAATTTGCTGTCAGTTAGTGCTCTGGAGGTCCCTCTGTGGCAGAGCAGCACACCCAGAACAGACACCAGGACTTTGGAGAGAGCCAGATTTCACAACCACTTACTGCTTTATCTCTCCGAGCTCGTTTAAAGAAGTTCCCACCCTGCTAGCTTTACCAAGTGCTGAATCACTTCTTTGGGTGGCCAGATTCTAGTTGTGGGGGAAGAAACCTCTGGCAGAAGAGCAGAGCAGATGTTAATGGAGACACTTAAACCTTCCTCCCACTCCACCGCCCCTGAAAAATTGCTGGTAGTGTTTACAAGGCAATAGCTAACAATCTTTGTCAGAACAGTAGGACGTGAGTAGTGGGTTAGAAGGTGGCCAAGTTAGTATTACAAGGCCATTGTTTAGTAGAAAATGGTATTGCTGGCAGATCTTTGGCTCTGGAGAAGAGGAGACCATTGGTAGGAGAATCTGTTTAAGGCATATGTCTTCTGACTGCAGTTTGAGCTCTGCCATGACCTGCATTTCTGGATTGACTTTTGCTTTGAATTGCTTTGGGTATTCATTACTCCGTGCTTCCTATTTTGTCTACACCTGTGTAGCTAATCCTTTTCCTTGAACTTAACCAATAGCCAGAGATAATCCTAGTTTGAAAGTGACTGGAGAAACATAACAGTTTACATATAATGTATGTTTTATGCTGGTTGATTTACACATGAACTGTCACATTGTCCTTCGTTAAATACACCACTATAAGATGATAACAATCTCTTTAAATATTACACAGGGTTAAATAACTTTTCTTTTTTTATTTCCTTTCTCCTTTTGGCAAATGTTCCATTGTTTGGATTTTTTTTTTTGTCTTATGGAAGAGCAAGCCTGGGTGTGGGACAGCTCTGAGTGCCATCTGCTGGAGACCCACTTTCTCCCATCCCTGCAATGGGCCAAATCTGGAGGCGATGTAAATGGTGGTGTGAGCATAAGTGCTCTGAAGCCATGAACCACAGGCTAGAGCAGGAAAAACAAGAGAACGAAGAAGGAATTGAAGCTGATACCCCCTGATACATTCACCAGATCAGGATCATTTGCTTACAGTTCTTGATGGAAGTACCATCACTGTTCACATCTCCTGCGCTGGTCCCCTCCTTCTGTTTCCAAGGGACACATTGTTGCTACAGAGACTTCCCAGGACAAAGTCACTAGAGGATCAAAGTCTTAGTGAGCAAAAAGTCAGAGCAGCTTCTCACATGTCCCAGTGCCAGCGTGGGTTAGAAAGAAAGAAGCTTGTCCCCAAACAGGAGCTGCCACTGAGAAAATGTCCCTGGTCAGCAGACACAAGGCTTCAAAGAGCCAGTGCTCTCAGAGGTGAATAGCCTTTGGCAGCCTCTTGCAGTTTCCTTTAGTGCAACATGAGAAGTTTGAGAGCGTGTTGGATTTGTGGAGTTTACTTATGCTGTGTTCCAGCAGCCAGGATGAGGAAAGTAACGGCAGAATTGTGTGGGGAATGAGGCTGACCACTGCCTGACGTGCATCCAGTGTCAGCTTCTGAACTTTCTTATAAGATTAGCCATTGTAAATGTGTGTGTGTGTATTAAGAGAAAAGGGTTGATTTAGCATACAGAGTTTTATACCTGTAAAATCAAGATTTGTATAACTTCACTGAGTGTTTACCCCATGTATCTCTTCATTCACAGGTACCTGCATTCAGAGCGGAAGTTACCTGAAGGTATGTCACATTACCCATCCGTGACCCTGCAGGCATTAGGCAATCGTTTACATTAATGTTTTGTCCAGGCTTTCATCTGCCTAACTCACCTCTATTTGCAATGCAAATGAAACCTGCAGCTGAACTCTTCCTTGCCCTTTTATCTCCTTGCAGTTTTTTATCAGTGTCCTTTGGGGTTGTCCTGTCTCGGTGGTGTGATTCAGTGTCTGGCCTATGCCCCATGCTGTCTTGTGTGAATATGAGTGCTATTTCCAGGTCTCAGCTCAGTCCCAGCATTTTTGGTTGCATCTTACTCATAAGACTTTTTTTTTTTTTTTTTTTTTGTGACAAGGGTGTCAGAAACCACTGCCAACTCAGCCACAGATGGCTGCGTGTTCCAAGCTAAGCTTCCATCAAAATGTGGTCAGTATGGAAGAGGTATCTGAAATCTTCACTGGCACAATAAATTGTTGGAGTGGCTTCTTGCACTGTAAATGAACAAGTATCACTGAGACACTCTGTGTAGAAGTAGGGAAAAGAAAGAAGCAAAGTACAGAAGCAGGTTGCTCCTGACCCCCTTTTCTAGCTGCTGTCGCAGAGGAGATCTGCAGCCCTTATCTCTAGCAAACAGTGCCTGATTCAGGGACAAATTTGTGGAACTAGTTTAAGCACAAAGCTGTCAGCTGTTTGGACAGAATGTAGGAAGGTGGCTCAACCAGGCCCACCCAGTCAACCTCCTGCTCCCTCAGCAGTCATCTGGACTGTGGTTCTTTAATGCTAATTCCCAAATAATTGTAGCTTTTCAATGTGTCACAGCAAATCAGTTTTAATTCCCTCCTAGCAGGAAATTGCAGACCAAGATCTGATGGAGAGAGCGTGAGCCAAGATGGCACAATGCCCTTTAACTGAGTTCTGCCTTTAGTCTCTTCAATTCCCCCATCTATGAAAGAGGAGTATGAATGCCAGCTTCTTTCCTAGGACCTTTTCTTTGTTCAGCTTTGGGATGCAGCAAAGTGCTCTGTGTGTGCTGTGTGCAGTACAGGAAAGAGCAAGGAACTGCAGTGGTAGATGTCAGTGCTAGATGTCAGGCCTTACCTAGACTGAACCACCTTCACTTGCTGTTCATGCAGGTTTGTTAGATACACTATGGTCCCGAATGTGGCCTCAGATTGTTCAGGTTTGAAACAGACCCATGTATAGACAACATTTCCATTTCTCTAGCAGCATCAAGAGACTCCTGAAGCTATGTGAAAGCCTTGCTGCTCTGATTACATCACATCTGACATGACCTACAAACACGAAAGGAACGGGGAGCTCCCATGCTGCTGCTTACGCTAAGCCTTTCCAAATATAGTTCCAGTCTCATTGAAATTCCCAGTATTTATAATTTGATCTGGCAGGCGTGCAGGGCTGTGCATCAGAGTGGCTTAATGAAACAAGAGTGATGTTGGGATTGAGGCTGTCTGGATGGAGCTGAAAGGCATGTTCAGGCCATGGAAATGTGCTGCTCTCCTGTTGGTAAGAGGGAACTATTTGTGGGTGAACCTGCCTAAGCCCCTGTGATCAGGGAATCCACAAAAAATCTCTCTGCAAATGCAAAAGCCAGCTAAGCCTTGCATTGCCTCAGTGATATGCAAATGAGCATCCTAAATATCCTGCTTTGCTTTCTAATGCCTTTAGCCAGCATAAACACAACAGGCTTTTTATAATCTGTAATCAAGTTCTCCAGCCCAGGCACAAGCACATAGGCTTGTTTCAAGAAGCCAAGACAGCTGCTGGATACACACGCACCCTACTGCCAGCCCCATCCAGCTATAACCAGAGCTCTTCCAAAAGAATTGGTGTGCTAACGTCTGTCAGGAGCAGTGTGAACCTTTAGCACACATAGATCTGCTAATAATCTTCTCATTCTACGCATACTTGCTGCATAAGTGATTTGGAAGTAGAAAGCCAAGCCGAACAGGCTGCAGGCTTCATGTGCTTCTATTCTAGGCCTAATCCAGTAGCTATATTGATCTTGCCCTTTCTGCCACCCTAGAGAGGTTGTATTACACTGTTAATCCCATCCTGCCCAGGTCACAGTCACAACAGGCTCTGAAAAGCCTCACCTGCTGGTGTCACAGGAGTAGACTCATCAATGGCAGCACTTCTCTTACCCTGCTTGGCAGGGAGCAGCCTGTTTCTCTGAACCCTTTTCCATCTCTCCCTGGACTGTACATTCCTTCCCTGCTTCATTTCATCTCACGTTCCCATGCGGAGCAGCCTTTGCTGTCAGCATGTGGAGATCCTTGTCATATTGCTGTCACAGGAGGCTCTTACAGTGCCCTTCAGTTTGTCAGGCTTGATGCCGTTGCTTTGCCTGATCTGACCGATGGGGGCCCGGGAGGTCAGACTGATCAATACTGAGATCACTTGCTGTTGTTTTGAGCCCTTATTGCTGAGCTTTGGGGAACAAGAGGGTGTAATTGTGGCATGAATTAATGTTTCTTAGGGAAAATTTATAAGAAGGGGAGAGCACATTTTGTTATCAGAGCAGCCCAAGGTTCAGAGATTGCTGGTGGGTAACCCTTCACCCGGCCTCTCTTCCCATCATTGCGAACAGGAATTCTCGTGGAATTGCCAAGGTCCATTAACAACCACCCAGGAAAGGAAAGACCCATTGACCCACGTTTGTTCTAGCCCTGACCTCCCCAGTAAGCACTGAAAAGCAAACTGGTGGCCAGTGGGAATGCTGACTACAAGAGCAAGGGGATCCATATCTATTCCTTTCCTCTCCTGTGCCATAGGGCAGCGCTGTACTAATTCTTTTCTCTGAAACGACACACCAACAGATTGCCTGCTGAGCAGCCCAGAGGATCTCTGCAGAGAACAGGGCGGAAAAGTGCTTCCCCTTCTCATGGCACATCACATTTGCTTCCAAGTTCGCTACTTGGAAACAAGAAATGTCTGTAGTGGGAGTAAAAGAACTGTCAGGGCACTTCCACGTGCACCTGTGACACTTGTCACTACAGAGCATCCTTTGCAATAGCGAGCTGCCACGGCAGCTAAGCAGCAACTGCTCTGTCTGTCACTTGTCATGGTGGACCCTGAGCGAGAGTGGGGCTCAGGCTCGCAGTCAGGAAGTGACACAGGCCATGCTGGTCACACAGCTGCCTGCATTCCCGCACGTCCAAGGGACTCCCTGCAGGGCGCTTGGCAGAGCCATGGGTCCTTCCAGATGGCATCACACAGCTGCTGCTCTGCGGGGACGGGCGCGATGACCTTGCAAGGGTTGGATGGCTGAGGCTGCAGTAGGACAGGAGCAGGGACATGGTACAGCACTGACATAGTTAAGACAGGACAGGAGGGCGTTCAAGGCAGAGAGAGGGGTGCCAAAAGTGATCCTAACCTGGGCAGCCTGAGCAAGGCACTGCCGGTAGGGCCGCGGGCTCTGGGTCCCGGCTTCCTCTGCAGCTGGCGGACACTGCCATCTCCCGGCAGCTCCTGGCAGGCCATGGTGGAAAAAAAACAGCAACTAACTTTTGAGTTCAAGGGGCTCTTTAAAAGAGGAAAAAAATTACCCACCAGTATAATCTTTATACATGTTACCTTCATCTGCCTCATCACAAGCTTCTCAGCAATGAATTCGGGAACTCTGTTAAAGTGTAACTGTCTGCCTGAGTTAATATTTGATACAGCCATTCCTGAATGGTGTAAATATTTTTTATGTATCTAAGAATTGGAGTAGAAAGAGGAAAGTTCATTTTTGTAGCTGAAACAGAGTCTACTGTTTTAAATTTCTATTATATGATACAGTGTCAGCATCCAGAGAGCCATCCTGTGCTTTTTCCTTTGAGTCTAACTATGTGGGAATAATTTGAATTATAAGCAAAAAAAAAAAAAACCAAAAAAACCAAACCCTCTGGTACTCATAGCTAGCTTTGCTTTCCACAGACCACATACAGAACAAGAACCAGTACAAATGGTCATTGACGTGCACTGGGCACAAAGAGATCCTGGTAGCAGCATGGGTAAAAGTTGCTCCCCTTTTGCACAAAAAGGATCGCCATGGCCAGCAATACAGGGGAGCCTGCAAAGACCTGCTGAGCCTAGAGAGGTGGGAACCCTACAAGAATATTGTTGTTTTGAAATATTTATCCTCTTTCTCTGTCTAGGCTGCCATGTGCTCGTGCTTGAATCAGTAAATCTCTTCCGGAAGTACATCTCCATCCTGGATGTACTCATTTCCTGCCTCCTGCCCAGAGATGCGCTCTTCATACTCACAGAGGAGGAGACTGAAAAAGCCAGGGTGAGATGTGTGGTACCTGCTTAACCTGTTTGAGTAGTTCATCATCATTGTGAAGACTTTAGTCAGAAGTGTCATATTCCCAGAGAACTTCACAAATAATTATATACATGGATTATAAATGTCACTAATGAATGATCTCCGGTGATTTGTGAAATGTGAATGGACAAGACTGGTTGCTTCATGTGCTGTGTGGCTAGCAGGACAGGGCTGAGCAGATTTGTAGCTCTGAGATCTTCAGTAGTCACAGTGCACTGAGTGTTTACACTGTCTGGGATGTAGGATGTATTTTAAAGGAGACTGGATCCAGCGTAATATTCTGAACGTGTGAGTGGCCTGTCAGAGAACAGCATGACTGCAGGAACAGCATCCTTAGGTCATAGCTCTAACTAAAGATGGAGACAGCTGGTAAACTTGTGGTCCAAAGTTCCTTATGAGTTTCCTTCTCTACTGTGTATTTTTTTAGCGGTTTTGCTGCATGAGATCTCACACATTTAGTCCACAGTTCCGTATAGCAGAATCTGTTTATCTCCCCTTCTATAGGATGTAAATGTTTGCCCAGCAAACAGTCCTGTTAATCCACAAATGACATGCACAGAACTTTCCTGCTTCTGAGGCTGCTAAACAATAAGAGTTACGTATAGAAACTGCTCTGATAAAAGTGGCATTATTCTCTTGCGTTTTGTGTTTCTGAAATCCTACCTTTCTAAGCTAGTGCACTATAAATAGATGAAGTTTCATCTGGCAATGTATGATCGGAAGCAGCATGCAAAGTGTTCTCAGACGCACACCTATCAGGTTTCTGCTTCCCCAGCATGTGAACACCCAGGCGTGAGATCACATAGCAAGGAGGAGTTACTGACACAGAAACTGTCACAGCACCAATCTGCAGCTGATAGTGTCCTTTCTAGCAGGACCCCTCTGAACGCTGGGCAGCACAGCAGCAGCCACAGCGTGCAGACAGGCCTCCCCCTGCCCCTTGGCCCCACAGAGCAGGCAGCCTTCTACCTCCACTACTTCTTCCTTACTCACTGAAAACTGTCCTATGAATTGTCAGTGAACCTCACAGGAGGCCTAAGAAACTGCATGCACATTAGGTCTTGAAGGTTCTTGTAACGCTTTCTCCACTATTTTTCCTTCTAGAGAGCCATGCGGTGTCATCGCAGCCAGCTCCTCTGGTTTCGCCACATCTATATGCTTTTCTCACGTTATATGGTGATCAATTCACTCCGTCTTCTGTAAAAGACATGCTGCTCACAACTTCAGGAGTAAAAGAATGAGTGAAAAAAAGACTGTGTCAGGCCAAGAACTAAAGAAAACTCACCTGTTATGTGCTCAAGAGGACAGGATTCTTTTGATATAGCGTTCTTTCAGACTACAAAACACAGACTGTATGAACTTCCTTCTAAATACCTTGTTGCCTGATACATTGAGATGAACAGGGTTTAACAGCTAACCTATTTTCTCACTGTAGAAGCTTATATAAGAAATCCGGATTAACCTAATTAGGAATCAAATGAAGGAGTATTCTGCATTAGAGACAATAATAGTTCAAACTATTTTTCCCCAAGAGGATATAGCTGCGAGGACTGCTTGGCAACTGTCTCTTGGTGCGTTTGTAAAATCCAGATATCGGGACTAATTTTTCAAAGATCATGCCATCTCCACAGATAAAATCAGAACCACACGACCTGTCTTATTCAGTCAGAACTTTAAAAAGCCAAAGCTTATGAATAAAACATCAGAAATCGTACAAATTTCTCTGATTGCGCTGATCTTTGTTGATGCTGCTACTTCTTTCATACACATTGTGATGCAGGCTCCACCTTCGCAGAGCGTCCCTCATGAAACATGAGCATTTCTTCTTCCTTCAGAACATGGTGCTCAAGATAACTCACAAGAGTCTCAACAGGACGTAAGAATGAGGTGCAGAGACACAAACTGTAACTAGGTCTTTTATAGAACACATGCGGAGATAAAAATTGGAAGAGATGTTTCAAAAGCTGTTCCACTTATGTAAAAGAGAAGTGCAAGAGTTAAAGATCCTCTCATGTTAAAAGGTAAGTGAAGCAGCTGGTTTCATTTCTTAGCCTACGTGGAGATTTTACTAGTGATTTGGTTTTCTGTGGGGTCGTGGTGGAGCAAAGTCAGCAATACTCAACACTGCCATAGGCCTTTGCACTCATTCTTGTGGGCTCACATCTACAGGAGGCACCTATCCCAGCTCTGCACAGCTAGTCACTGCATAGTCAGGATCAGCGCCCAAACGGCCAATCCTGATCTGTTGCTCTGACCACATCCTCCCTCTGAAGATAATGAGTTCCTGGTACTGAAGTACGTGCCCATTGTTGTAAGGGCATGACAGTGTTGAACTCTGTTCCCTGGCCATGAGTCAGTGCCTAAGCATATGCCTACTCAGCCTTAAGACCGTGAGTAAGTCCAGGCTTAAGCAAAACAGTACTTAATCACATGAAAAACTTCAGTGGCCCCTCTCTTGCGTACAGCTAAACACCTGTGTAAATGCTTTACTGAACTTGAGCCTGCTAAGCTCTTTCAAATCCCCTTTAACTTTAAATCCATGGTCAATTCATTGAAGTCAGTGGAGAAAAAATAGTGTAAGTTAGTATTATGTCCTAAGCAAGAGATTATCTTATATAGGACGTTTTTATAAGCCAGACTTGAAACACAGGAAATATCAATACAAGCAAAGATTAGATTTTTTTTTTTTCTGTACTTTGCTCTGTTTCCTGTGATTTAAACTTTAGCACAGCTAAGGGCAAAGTACCAAAATAGCAGCCGTGGGTGGTTTATGGGACAGACATAGTTTGAGGACCGAAAGTCACAAATGAATGGGACAGGCTGCATAGAAAAGATGCATTTATTTAAGAAAGAACAGATAACAGCAATGTAGAGACTGATTTTGCCAGCTGTCACCCAGGAAAGCCCAGACTGCAGTGCCACGGCAGTGCTCCAAGTTCAGATGCTGGAAGAAGTTTGTCAGGGTTTTGACATGTCTCTGATCATCTTATGTTCCATCACTGCCTTCTCCCATTCCTTCCCATTGAAATTCTCTGTGACAATGACCTCCACGGTGCCATCATCCAGACAATGGGGGGCTATTCCTGAAGAAAAAGTGTGGGAGATGCCTGCACCACTCTGTGGATGGGGCATCTCAGGGGATGGTAAATGCTCAGTGCCGCTGTTGCTGTGAGGCTGAGGAGCCTAGAGGAGAAACCTGCCATGGGCAGATGCCCACACATCATAGGTCAGACTGGTTCTTACGGAGGATCTATAGGTTCAGACTGTGGTTCCAGATGTTTAGCACTTTAGGAACAAACTTTTAAGACACATGCTGCTCACGGGTGTCATATTGGCATCCAGTGATGTCTTTATTATTGATGGTTAACTTTGGTTATCACAACTTACTCTTTCTACCTACCAAAGCCATCTGGATTGGAACGAGGAATATAAAAGCTCTGTACACCACAGGTCTTGCAGAATGTGTGCTTGGCCTGGTGTGTGTTGAAGGTGTATGTTGTCAAATTATCAGCACCCTAAGCAAATGAAAAGCAATGTAAGTTTTCCACATAAATAGCTATATTTATTACTATCTATGGGCCTGTAGCTAAGAAATGTAAAATTTAAAATACTACCTTCATGCCTTTACTTGATACACAGTTCGGCATTCATGCTCCTTTTCTGAACCTCTGTGCTTTGTATATATGTGTGTCTGTAACAGTCAAGCCTGAGAACTGCAAGAGCTCTAACAGCAGCTTGCTAAATAAGATGCACTAATGCTCCTGCACCAGATGGCATAAAATTCAGCCATTGCCCCAAGCCAGCCATAGACAAACTTAGGATAGAAAACTGGCTGCCACTTGCATCTTTGAGGATAACACTGGATTATACTGCTCGTGTTCATGGCCATGCTCTTACTGCATTCTTACTCTACCTTCAGCAGCTTGAAACGCGACGCTGGGACAATGAAGTGTCGGTTCTGTTTCTTTGTGCAAATGCTGCAACTGTAAAAGAAAAAGCAGAGCTTTCTAGAAGCAGCGGACAAATTGTAGTACAGCAGTCAGATCTAGCATGGACCTCTTGACAACAGAATGCCACTGAGAGCTAAAATGGCTCCTGGTTAGCATCATAGAGGTAAGCGGCAAAAGTGGACTCGTATCAGTAGTGTTTGGCTAAGTGTTAAGAAATACTACCTTAAATAAGTAAGTTTTTAATAGAACAGATCACTTAGAGTTGTAAGGTTGTGTGATTTTAGGATACTATTTACTTTAGCTTTATTTAGTGAGTAGCTAGATTTGCTGAAGCCTGAGGCCGCAAGCTGTAAATTTCCACTTCGGTATATTTTTTCTTTCAGTAGATGGTACAGTGTGCTGTGTTTTGGGGTTTTTAGTGTGAGAATAACGTAGATAACACACTGAAGTTGTGGTTATGGCTAAGTGTTATGGCTAAGCATTTAACTCTGGGACTTTTGCAGTTTCTTATATTCTGCTGAAAAAGAAAGTGGTTTGTTACAGAAGACTGCAATTGCCTCTCAAGGGCCCCAGTAAGGGATGAAAGGCAATTGTCTGCCGAGAGCCTTGTAAACAAACGGTTTGTCTCAAACGTCTCTGTTGTAAAAGACTGCCGCAGAACCCCAAATCCTGCTCCTTGCTGATAAGAGGAAGTATGGAATGCACCAAAGGACTTACGGCTTCACTCCCTCCCTCCCTAATGACATCGCATCCCTTACAACCAAGGAGCAAACCTTGCCCTCACCCACTGAGTGGGATGGGACAAGACCCCAGACCAAGAATCGGAATTGGACCAAAAGGCACATGAACAGTGTGAGGGGCAGGTGAATAGTCTGTAACGGTGTCACTGCCCAGGGATTGCTTGGCTTGGGCTCCCTCTTTGGAGGCACCAGCTCGAGCTGACCCTGCTGCTGTACCATTTAATAAATTATTCAATTTTTTAACTTTGATGCCTGAAACTCTGCTGTGGGAAACCTAGGGCTCAGACTATGGAGATAACGCTGGATGCCCGGACAGTGTGGGCTTCCATGACACTGAGCACACCCACAGAGCAGGCTGACCCTACACACCAATAAGGTATTCTCCTTCACCAATCATTACATGCCATTTTTTCTTCACATATACAACTCTCAACAGACATAACAAGGACAAACTCTAGCCCTGAGAAATCCATTTAATCTTTCAGACCAGACTTGCCAATTTTGCCAACGTTAATTACCTTGCCAACAAGAAAGTAAGGTTTAGAAGTTTACCTGTGAGCTAGAAGCAAACTCTTCGCAGGCAAAGGGGGATGTAATGGTCACTTCAGAAGACCAAGTTTAAAAAGGATGGATGTGCTTTAAGCACACTGCACTTAGAGGGAACTTAAAGCAGAGGGCTGAGCACCTGTACTTATGAGATCTCTCCTGCCACTTCCTGCATGAGCACGGCTGTGAAACCTGAAGTCCTGCCCAAAGAACCAGCACCTGAAATCACCAGCACTGATCCCATATTGGATCAGGACATAATTAGGGGTATACCCTATGGAACCAGCTCAGAGGATGTTCTGCAGTCGTGGGATCTTGTCTGAGCAGTAAGGTATAGATTGGAAAAGCATACAAGCTTCATCTATGAGAAAAGGGAAAAAACCCAAACTCACTTGCAGTTGAAAACACGCAGCTCTGCTGAAGCCCAGACCTCAAAGCGGACAGCTCCACAGTGACAGCCGCCAGTGTGTTTGACCAAACCTCTGTGTTCACTGGAGAGAGAAACAACAGAGAAGTTTTGTGATCATACTTTTTGGGTTTTTTTTTGGCCAAGAAAACAGAAAGACTCTATACTACATTATTCAGTTCTGCTTTGAGCAATTGCAGAACACCAGAAAAAGTATCCACCCAAATGTATTTTAATAAAAGTGCCAGAATGAGGTAGAGAATGGCTTTTGTCTCTGCAGCAATTGCTTTTCTGGTTTAATTAAAATGCATGCCCCCGAAACCAGCCGCTCCCCTGCCACAGTGCAGATCACAATGCTGACCCCGGCTGCAGCATTATCTGCGCACAACAGTACATAGAAACGAGTGGTATTATCACAAAACAACCCTCTCGGAACTGGGAACTGCATTTTCCACAATTCCCACAACTGCTCCAGTACGGCTGATGCACAAGCTGGGCAAAGCCAAACCACGGGAAGCTTCCCCGTGCTGCGTGCGGGGACCCCCGGCCCCCTTCTCGGCAGCTCTCCCGTGTTTACTGCTGTGCAAATGCTGCCGAAAGGACGGTGAAATAAGGGTGGAAGGCCCCGCCGGGCAGGGC